CAAAGGCCCGTCCGATCCGTTGCGTGCGTGGGAAACTTGAGGTTTTATCTGCACACAGGACGATAAAGTTAGAAGCGATGTCGGCGTGCACCGCTGCCGAACTGGATGAGTTGGGCCTTCGAAGTTCGCCTTTGTAGGTTGATGCGGCTGCAGACGGTGCTGATGTCAAAGACTTCGATTGGTCCTGATGCGACGCACGGCGAAGGACGAAATCGCTCCCGCTCGATGACAAAGGCCCGTCCGATCCGTTGCGTGCGTGGGAAACTTGAGGTTTTATCTGCACACAGGACGATAAAGTTAGAAGCGATGTCGGCGTGCACCGCTGCCGAACTGGAGCCAAACGTGTCTCAAATTCTCCGTTCCTACCACTCACTCTCTCTGCTTTCTCGCACACAAAGGAAGCTCGCAGCGTGCCTGAAGCGCCCGGTAGTCCACCAAAAACGAGAGGACAAAGAACAGGACGTGGCATCGTCCCTACCCCTGCCGACCTTGGCGCGCGCGCTCCCGGCAATGCCAGTTCGACAAGCTCTCGCCGACCTTGGCGTGCGCGCTCTCAGCAAGACCGGCTTGAACCAGCTTGGGCCAGATTCAGAACCAGCTTGAACCAGCATGACAAGCTTGAGCCAGCTCAAGTACCAGCTTGCCCATCCGCGATGTCAGCTCGAACCAGCTTGAACCAGCTTGACAAGCTTGAACCAGCTTCAGTACCAGCTCGAACCAGCTTGCCCAGCTGCAGTGCCAGCTCGAACCAGCTTGAACCAGCTTGACCCAGCTTGATTACTACCTAGACCAGCTCAACCAGCTTGAACCAGCACGAACCAGCTCGAACCAGCTTAAAAACCAGCTAAACCAGCTTGCCCAGCTTGAAATCCTTGCTGGTTTCTTCAATAGGGCTTCCCTCCGATTATGGTGGGCTCGGGAAAGATGGGCAGGGTTTTGGCTTTTCTCTGCTTTCTCGAATAGGCACTGCTTATGCCTGATCAGAGCTTCGATTTCGTTTGTCATCCACCGAAGGCTAGCTCGCTTCCGACTGGCACAGACATTCGCCTTGATGTCAGCCATTCAGCACATTCGCGCTGGATGGCTGACAAGATGTCAAGTCAGAGGTAGTAAGCATCATCAGTGGAAGGATCGTCAAACACAATCGACCAGGGAGCAAGATGGATTAGCTGATTAAGATGAGAGAAATCGGTTTGTGCAAACTGCTAGAATTTCTTGGCTTTAAGGATTCGCTTGGGTGCTGAACAGTGATGAGGGCCTTATGGTCGCAGCCCGAGAGGCTGGGGATGACTGTGCAGCGATGTGAAAAGGTAGGATTGTTGGTCAGGGCGAGGTCTAGGAAAGAAGTGGAGACACTACGGGAGGTGTAGAACGGGGTGTCGCAGTGTTGAGTTAGACCAGCTGTTTCGAATACCTCAAGTAACAGGTCGTCTAGTGGGTTGGATGGGAAAGGAGTACCAGGATCGTTCCAGCTGATGTGGCTATTTAAATCCCCGAAGATGAAGAATGCAGAAAACTTACTGCGGTCAATTTGGAGCAGGCTGTCTTGCAGGAGGGCATAAGAGTGTTCCCGGAGCGAAGATGGACAATAAACACAACGAGGAAGTAGCCTACCACGCTTGCTAAAGACTTCGAGACAATTCGCTTCAAGACCCTGTGGGTCAGGTGATATAGGCGTCGGCACGGGTGCTGTTTCGGTATTGCTAGTAGGACGCCACCCCCGGTTGAGGGTCGATCTTGCCGAAAAAGAGTGAATTGTACGGGGTAGATTAATTTTCCATCTAACACAGGGGTATCTCACCATGTTTCGCAAACGGCAAAGATCGTGTTCGGGAGGGAATTCGAGTAGTTTGCTTTTTAGGGAACGTACGTTTGAGAACGATACGGAAATCGCACCGGAAGCTGCGGGAGTGCTACCAACCACAGAAGCATGGTCAGGCGAACTGGGAAGACCGTCGTCGCATTTGTTTTTCTGGGAAGGGTCGGGCCGTTGCTTGGAAGGGCTGATAACCTTATCGGGGGAGGGGGCGGGGGGGGGGGGGGTAGCGGCAGCGTATTGCGTGGAGGGGAACAGGTCGTCAGCCAAGGGTCGCAGCTGACACCCCGCGCAGAGCCACTCTGTTGTTGACGAAGACAGGCGGCAATACGAGGCGAGGGAGATGCCTTCAAATTTGCTGTTTAACCCCAAATCGCAGCGGTCGCATTATATGGCAGCGACATTGTCGGGCGCTGAGCGGGAACAGCGGGGTCAGGTGGGGCGAGGGCCGGGGTTCCGAGGAACACCACCAGCGATAAGTAGCAGCAGAATCAGATGCGGTTGACGGCGTGAGCGGCAGGCAGGAACCGGCCGATCACTAGGCCTCCGATTACTAGGCCTAACACCGGTCGTCCACATCAAGCTTGCGCCACGGACGGCGATGCCTAACGAAGTTACTCCTGACCACGGGTGGGCCACCGAATACTTACTTTTTGTTGAATCTAGAAGACACCTTGTCTAGCACGCTGCTACCTTGCGTGGTTCAGGGGGTGCAGAAGCGGCACTGGAGCGTGGCAAATCGTAAGCTTTGGCATCATCGATCCAAAGAGGAAGAACGAGAAAGAGCAACACAGAAAATCTGAAAAAGAAAGCAGTCGCAAGGCTATAGGCGTGTTCAATTTTCCGAAAGGCGGCGACCGTGCAAGTGATGGTTTGCTACCTCTGTGTGCTTATTAACGTCTTACATACGATCTGATCTCCGTCGCTGGTAGTCACTGCGTGCCCCGCCGTACCAGTGTGGCGAACGCGGATCTATTCCTCCCTGTTCGCGACATGGACCCTTTGGTTTGGCGCTCGACCTGTGTCGGGTATTTCTTCTGCTGGTGGACAGCACCAGTAGTGGTTGGTCTTCGGAAATTTCATTAAGCTCGTCAAGTTACAGCTCAGGCAAGTTCAAGCCGCGGCCATTTTGAACCATCGGCTGTCTCCGGCGGTCGTTCCAAAGATGTGACTCCACTTTCCGCTCGTCGATTCGGAGCGTGTGCCATAAAGTGGTTTTTCTCCTCCTTCGCAGATTTTGGAAACTTGAAGGGATCAAAATATATACAACTGATACGATGGGATCGGTGTGTTCTTTTTTTTTTCTTATTTAATTGCACGCAGGAGCACCTAAAAAATACTAGACGTTTATTTTACATCCCGGTATCACGGTTCGGCCATGCTTGAGGACCACGTGGAACAAGGTAGACGTGGCAAGTTTGATTGCCTAACCTGGTCTTCTCTGATAGTTAAATATTGCCTTTAGCAAAACAAACATACTTCTTCCCAAGCAGCCTAGGAATCCAATACCTGTTGCAGCATAAGATCTGGATGAGAAACCCCGCCTCCAGCATGCGCGCCTTGCCTTCGATTGTGCTTTGGCTGCGCGTGCGCCTAACTGTTATCGAGCATATAAGGGTTGTATCGTATCGATATTTCTTAATATACCGATCAGTTAGAGGTCTCTACATAGGCTCATCCCTTTCACATACTCCCCCTGGAGCCAAGCGCATTTTCTCCATTGCCATACCCTGCTCTAACCACTTTTTTGTAAAATGCATCGCATCTACGACCGGGCAGGTGCTTCTAGTTCATCGATGATCACCAAATGATGTCCTCGCAGCGGTCTTGCAATAGTTTTGAGCGGGTTATAATTACTTGGGGCAAGGCCGGGCAATACAGATTCACGACCAGTAACCCGAAATATCCTACGACGCGTCGCCATGTGACCGAACTCAACAAGGCGCCTATCAAACATGACTTCGCGTGCAATTTCGTGATGTCGTGATTGACCAGCGCCTGGTCGGGTAGCGCCATTTTCCGACCCCTCGTAGGACATCTGGGTGTTTAGCACAGAATCTCGATGCAGAAATACAGATACTCGGATGTATCTCTAAGATGCTATCACAAAATATCTGTATATCGATACTTCCCAGCACCGATAGTACATTCAAAGTAAAGAAGCTTGATTTGAGCTGGCATATGTCGTACCTCCGTATGCATAGCTTTTGTTTCTTGTGTTTTATTGTATTGTCATTTTGTTGTTGTTATTTTTCTTATACTTTGACTCGGTCAACTAAGTGTATTTTTTTCTGGGCTGCAGTCGTTTTACAAAACCAGGTATATATATTGATTATATTTTTTCGTATTCAAACAACTTTTAAGGTTTTTGGTTTTTCAAATAACATATCCAAAAAGCGATAGCTGACGCGCAAATCAAATAAATGAATGAATTGGGTGAACACTGTCATGGCAGCCGTGGCAGCAAGCTACGTTTCACGTGCATTCTACGAAGGTTGTTCAAACCTTCACTGATCTGATATCCCTGCACCATTCAACTCGCAGGTAAGCTAGATATATCTTATATTTTTATAAATTTGCTGCGCTTATCATTGTCTGATATAAATATATAAGTGCATTCCTGAACAAAAATGTGAAACGCATTCGTCAGTGGACCGGGACCCGTGATGAGGTTGACCCGCCAAGAGCGAAGCTTCCGCGGAATGAGTGTCACTTCCCGCATGCCTAAACGATCGCAACCTTGCACTCTAAATATTCAGTGAACAGAAACATATCTCCGGCCCTTCTTCCTAACCCAGCGTAAAAAAAACAAATGCCAAGAGGACGCGGAAGCTCAAGTCATTGAATGATGTCACCCCGACATCGTGTGACGTTCATCTTTTTGAGAACCCTCATTGGATGTTTTGACGTCCGACATGTTTAACCGTGACACGAAAACACAAAAGTCGTCCGCGAATGACGCAAATGTCGAAAGAACGAGGCACAGACAAGCGTGATAAGCGATGCTTGGCAGCAGAGCACCCCACGTTGCCCTTTTCGAGTGCGCGGTAATCTAGATGACGTGAATTCACGTAAATGAATCTGACATTTTGCCATGTACGCGCGCGACTGAGCGGTATATATAGTGAAGCTTTCTGCGAAAAGAAAACGTTTCTCGTCGCATGAAACACACTGACCTCGAAAGATGTGGACACGGCCGTTCATGCTCCTGGGAACATTGGTCATCACAGCGGAAACAATGGGTAAGGGACGCTTTCTTTGTAATGCCACTAGGCTTCGTTATTATCCCCTTTTGCTCCTTTTTCGAGCCACATATTTATCTGGAAGACTTCCGAAGCGTGCCCATTTTATGAAGAAATCACTCGCATATACCTTTCAGTAATGCCTATAACTAGCTAATTATTACTGTATGCGGAGCGCAAGTTCGTATGCTTCTTTTGAAGGAGGGGAGGTGACGTCAGAAAGCCGAGCTCTGATTGGCTCTGAACGAAGGATAGTGCGTAGACCTCAAAGGCAGCTGCCTTTGAAGTCTACCTGCTATCTTTCAACTAGAGCCAATCAGAGCTCGGTGTTCTGACGTCACCTCCACTCCTGCAAAAGAAGCATACGAACTTGATCTCCGCATAGACCAACGCGCGTCTTTGGCGCATAGGTACTGAGGTGGCGCTGTTGTTCGGCACGGCGCATGCGCACGCAGTTCAATCGAATCTGGTTTCTACGCACGCGCCTCGCCCATACCTGCTGTGGTAAAAACGCAGGCTTGTTTGTAAACAACGTGTTGGCGTACAGGAAAGAGGCACCGCAGATGGCGAGGCTATACGATAACGTCGGGGTTCATAAATAGTGTCTGCCTTAATATCTTGAACAGATTAACGTCCTGCTCAATAACCTCTTCCGGAGAGTTTCTCTTTTTAGAGCGCAGCTCTTAGGCGCCCGTTTTCGGCTTGAGCGGCGCCGCCGTCGGCGTAACTGTGCGGTGCATTATGGGATGCGTGACGTCACTGATGACGTCATCAGTGACGATGCCAATGCCAATGACGTCATCAGTGACGATGCCGATGACGATGACGTCATCAGTGACGTCACTGATGACGTCATCAGCGACGATGCCGATGTGATGACATCATCAGTGATGATGACGTCATCACGTTGACGTCACACGTGGCGTCACTGGGGACGTCACTGATGACGTCATCACATCGGCATCGTCACTGATGAAGATGGCGATGTTCCTCCCTCCGAGCCACGGCGACGCCGGTCGGAGGGAGGAATAGCAGACAGAATTAGGAGGTGAGGAGGGAGGAGGAGTACACCCTCCCCTCAGTACCCTTCCCTCCTTTTCCTCAAGAGCTGCGCTCAAATTCGGCGTTACAGCGAGTTGTAAACGTTCTTTTTTTTTTCTTTTTTTTACATTTGCTGGGTTTCGTCTATCAAAACGATGATCCATTTCCGAGTAAAGACTTTAAAGCTATAGAGACATTTGCGCGCACAGCTAAGTCTTATGAGTCGTGTGAACTCTTATTCCAAGACCGTCAGTCCCGTTGTTATCATCGACAACTTAAGAAACACGAGGCATGGCGAGCCTCGTGCATTTTATTGTCGCTCCACAGTCAATGAGATTGTCGCATTAGACACTAGGCACGGCGAAGAATGAACCGCAAACCAGGAAGTGTGAACATGAGAAACCACGCCCTGTGCTTCGTAAGCTGTCACGGACTGTAGAAAGTGATTGTACAAAACGTGTTATGCTATTAGTACTAAGTCACTATAGAAAACGCTATTTACGAAACGTTATTAGCGAATTTAGTTTAACTGGTGCGTCGGTCTTTGTGCCAGGTTCTAAGTAATGATGCCGGCCTATGGATCCACAGGGTGTAGATTATATTTTATAATTTTTTCGACGAGATATGTATTAGAGTTGTGGATAGTTTCGTTGCGGTTTTATTGTTGTAGATCGAGGACAGCAGTTCGTGATCAATAACAGGTAACCAAGAATAATGTTCGAAGGATTGAAGCAAAAAATATTTAATGAAACCACGGATCTCGATTCAAACGAGCGAGTGTTAACAAAAAATACAAACAGTGACTGCGCGAAAAAAAAAATTCCCACCTTACGAACTTTTTTTTTTTTTTTTTTGCGCATGGATAGAGTTTTTTTACAAACACTCAGCCCAAGGAGATTTCCGGCATTTTTAAAACCCCGTAATAAGCATACAGGATTTCATTTTTCGTTCCCCTTTCGACGCAAGCTGTTTCCGCATCTCTGATGACCTTCAAGTCCTAAACCTGTAAGATGATCCAATTTGCCACGCTCTAAAACATGGGCACTTAATACCGTTGCTTGTTCCTTAGAACACCTTTGTAGAGCGACCTTTCCGCCTCTGTGGGAGAGTTACACTCCCGCCTCACACGCGAATACGAAGCCCCTGTCGGGGGGGGGGGGGGGGGGGGGGGCGGATCGGGGTGGAGGCCGCACAGGCGCTAAAATATCATTATGCATCTACTTCCACGCAAGGTCAAGGTCACTCTTTATAAAAAATTGTCTAAAGTCTTAGTCAAATAAAAAAGAACGCGATAGCGTAGCTACGCAAGACGTGTCTTTGTGCGGCAGTAAAGCTCTTTGTATAGTCACGCTCTCATAAAGCTGCAATGGACTCTTGAGATTAAATCTTGACAACAAATGGCCCACTCCTTTCCGCCTTCCAGAGAACATTGATACGTCCCTCCGATTACCGGTGATCTTGTATTAAAGCGAAGAGTTTTTAAGATTCTGACTCGGGAATGTCCCTCTAAAATAAGGTTTCGAGCTTTTCTTTCGTCACGCAGCGAGACATCGATACCCTACGAATATTAGGTTTACTGTATTGAAGTCAAGCATCCGGAGAATAAAAAATACCAACTTTCTGAAAATAGTTCCCAAGCTGCTGGCTCACTTCCCATCGGAACAGATAGAAAGGCAATAAGTGAAATCGGCGAAAGAAACGGTGAAATTCCGGATCTGAAATCTCGGCGAGGAATGTCATCCGTGCAACAATAAAGATGAGGGTTTTAGGTGTGATGTCTTTTATTCGAGCTAAAATTTACGCTTGTCTTTAATTGTTTTTATTGCTTCGTAATAGTTCCAAGCGTCATGGGACAAAAAAACGCGACTTTGGTGCGGCATAATCTATGAGCATCTATTCTACTGCGTACTTATAGGTACGTATGAGTAACCTCGAAGGCCCACAGGCAGCCTACATGGGGAGGGGGGAGGCCTTCGGGCCCGGCTCCCGCTGAAATGGGACGCACACCTGGTCAGTTCGAAGCCATTCCTGTGCTGTCCTCCAGACAGTGCAGAGTTTGAAATCCCACTGTAGAGCCTATTTCCAAACGCAAAGAAAGGCACTTTGTGGAGGAAGAGTAGCCCTTGGTTACCTATTGTCCTGCATCCGGCGTCTCTCCTCGGCTGCACGTGCCCTCGGGTTCACATAAATGTCACAAAATGCAGTGGCACCATCAGGAGGGCAAAAAGATAACCTTTCTGACAGTCCCATGTGGTCCCGAAAACAAAAATAGCCTCCATAAATATCATGTATTATGACAGCCTCACACGTGATGGACGCTTGTATCAAATGCACGAATGACCTTAAGTTTTTTCTGCATAAACCTATATATTTTAATTTCCAATCGTTTTATTCCAACCCAGCATTTGCCACACTTAACTGGGTAATGTGAAGAGTTATAATTAAGACAGTTAGTTTAAACATTTCTTTCCTCCTTATATACGTTACTCAAAAAGAGACGTGAAGAATGCGTATATTCATAATTTAGTATTGAAATAAAAAAAAGTAAGAGACTTTTTTAAGGATTTACCGACTGGTTCAAATATTACCTCCATGTTTCAGTCAACGATCAGGACAAGTTGCGCATCAGAAGCTAAAAGCAAATACTCAGCGGCAGTGAAAGCACCGATGGGTTGTCCCGATGTCTAAAACACAAAATAAAACATCTAAAGGGGACAAAACGGGACTCGATATAAATCGACACCTACATGTAACGAGCGACATAGTGTGGTCAATCCACAATAAACGGTAATGGATAAACGAAAACTAACGGAATTTAGTTCGATTCAACCTTATTACCGTGGGGCAGCTTGAGATCACAACGAGTCGCAAATCCATGTTGGTGATTTTCCGGTTGCACATGTTGCCCCAACACTCGCCATGGTGATTTTTTTTTTAATATTTTGTCTGTATGAGCCAGCCGAGCAAGCCATGTGTTGTTAGTGGCCTCTGTGAAATCATCTATTTTTAGACCGTACCACCTTTATAGGGAATCAAATATGCGCTTAAGAAATAATGTGAGATCCGTTTATAAATCTTAAGTGCTTTAAACATTTTTCAGCCGCACGATGAATGACCATAAAAGTAAATGATCCCCTATTTTGAGATGAAGAGCCTGTGTGGAGATATATTATTAAGCAAGATTCAAGATATGTGCCATGAGTTGGCGTTTCATTGAAAGCATTATGGCCGCTTTTTAGTGTGTTTACTAATGTTTTCTAGTATTTGCATTTTTCTCTCTCAGGTCCACTGAATCCACTGAAGTGATTAAACGTCCATTGCCGCTTCGAGTTTGCTTCTTTTCCTTTCCCGCGCCGCTAAGATTGTACTTAATAATAATTTAAAATAAACGTGTTTTAATTCATGTCGAAAATTCAACAATTCTCAATCGAAGGCTAAATTATTTATTCGGGATTTTCCCAATGTCTCAAGAACCTGTGCAGACCCTGCGTAAAGATGAAAATACAAAGCTGTAACTTTTCAGCGCGCTCACCCGCGACATCACTCGCATGGTGTGAAAGAGTACAGCGTATTGTAAATAAACCTAGAGAAACTGTACGCTATTAAAGGCCACAGATCTTAAACAACACCCGAGATTGATGCAAATATCTCCTCTTTATAACACGGTTCAGCTCAGACATAACTTACCGTTGCCATCGAAAATGTTATGCCATACGTGACTTCAAACACGCGTTTCCTCTGTTCCTGGTGTGGGGCAAGACTTCCCGCCCCTTTCGAGGCCCCTGTACCAGTTCGGCAAGCGGCTCGCCGAAACCAACTTGGACACACCAGCCAGGATTATTGGAGGACGCGACGCCAGACTTGCAGAGTTCCCGTTTCAGGTAGGTTCATGAGCCATAACCAATCCCCGATTGCTTTCCGTGTCCCGCCAGTGAAATGCGGGGACAGCCCAGACCCTGCCCACTACTGGATACAGTTACACGCAGCACTTTAAATTTAGCGGCTTTGCGGAATCCTAAACATAGAGGGCTGTGTTCGCGTGAAACTATGACGTCACCTGACGCCATGACATCGCGTGACATTAAATTTCCGCTAAATTTAACGAAAACAATTTCCCGCTATATTTCGAAAGAAAATTTATCCGCTAAATTTAGTGACACAATTTTACACCATGGGTCATGTCGGCAATCACACTATGACGTCAGAATGTTACGACACTTTGATTTTCAGATTCATTTAGCGAGTCAAGACTAAGGTACACCAAACACATCCGGGATCCGTTGCGAAACCGAGCCATATTCGAAGTTTGAAGTTCACTGGGATTTTCACGGGCCAGGCCCGGTAGCAGCGATTGCCGACAAATGTCGTCACCAAACGAGACCTATAACCCTGGTCTCTCGGTAGATCCAGTTCGTCACAGCGACAAATGGAAGAGACCTGTCACTCCTCGTTTAGTTGACGTTTAAAAAGAACAAGCGAACCCATTCGTGTTGTCTCCGCGTGGCAGGATATCAGCGGTAAAACAAAACAAACGCTGAGTGGGCACACAAGCAAATTAACGCGTGGACAGTCCGGAAAAGATTTGTTTTTGTATTTCCTCTTTTTATTCCTCGACCTAGAATACACGCTGTCGGGGCTCTAAAAAGAAGACACGTCAATCTGGAACAGCCTTCGTTTGTAAAACAATTGACTACACTTTTTTATATTTGTGTCAATGTTCAGTTTGATAGTTTTCAGGGTCCGCAAACCCGGTAACTATGACATGCTATAAGCTTGAGAATGTATATGTGGTAGATGTCGATGTCAACCTAAGTCTTGCTCTTGAAATGGAAGTAGACTTGTTGCTTTCCAAGGACCTTGTTTTGTCCCCAGACTATCTCCACAGTGTCGAGTCTTTCTATCTAAAAACTACATGAGCTTGTATTGGTACCCCACAAAGTTTGTCTGTATTGCGTTAGAACCGTATTGTTTCTTTGATAATCTACAAGCATATAAGCCCCACTGTTTTTCTCGTTTCGCTTTTCAAAATTTAATTTCGAAAGTATTCATGGCCATCTTGCAAAAAAGAGGCGAATTTGAAGTCCAGTATCTATTCAAGAATAACTATAAAAAAGCGTAATTTTTTTATTATTCATTTATTTTTAGTGACTTTTGGGTATTCAAAAGTACCCAGGATACTCCAAAATAAGCCCTATCACATTAGACAGTGCTTTAATACTGTAGGTATTTTGCATCTTTGACCTGGTGAAAAACAATTTAAAACAAAGTATCATCTATAGTGTGGATACTTTCCCATCTTGTTACTTTAAAACTTTCAAACAAATACGATTTGCGCCTATGTTCAGAGAAAGGCTGTAATATGTGGGGGCGTTGCTATTTAACAGCTTAAACAATATTATAGAAAAATTTTCTTTTTTTTAAGCTTTGCCAAATTTTAAGGGACGTACGCACAATTATAATTACTATTATTCTCTTTCTGGACCACTGAAAACTCTAAAAAGCCTAGATCAAAGAAAGTTAATTGTGCTTGCGCTGCGGTTTCTGTAAATTAGATGCCGCAGTGAGTTTTACCAAATTAAAAGAGGCATTTATTTTTAGGGATTTTTTTTCAAAGCTTTCATGTGCGTGTAACTTATACCCATAGTAAAGATATGCCCAGAACGTAGTGGTCTCATCGTGTTCGATAGGTTTCTAAAGTTGAGGCTTGGGCGACTTGGTACATACTTCGGAAATTAAAAACAGCGCGGAAAGACGAGGACCAGACCAGTGACACGGACGCAGCGCTACGTCCGTGTCACTTCTTTGTCTGGTCCTCGTCTTTCCGCGCTGTTTTTAATTTTCGATAGGTTTCGAAATTTTAAAAGACGGTTTAGCGATAACAATCTTGATGAGACTGGCTTACGATAATTAATTTTCAAACAAAAACTGAATTATAACGCTACGTAACGCGTGGTGTTAGGGTTCAATATTTATTAAATGATATGCGTTATCAACGACTGATGTACACTTAAGAGACGATGTTAACATTGGTTCATAATTAAAGTGTGACCTCGTTCCAGCCTCGAGTTGCAATGTCATGGTGGAACCTTTGGTTTCTAATCGACACTACAACTGCGTCCGTTGTGACAGGAGCGACATGAGCGGCCACTCTGCGCCGCGCGTACACACTCTCGCAACCAATCTTTCAAATATGGTGGTCGTCAGTACGGTGGCCACTTTTCCGCCGCCGTCAGCTGTTTTCGCGGTGCCTCTAAAAAGAACAGGGCGCACTGCCACTCACTGGTCGAACAAAAAAAAGTCAGACAGTTTAGAATAGCCTAAGCTTTATTTACTTTTATTTTTTAGAGGATGGGAGTTGCAGGGTTGAGTAGATGAAAAAAGATAAGAAACATGCCGTGCGCCGTCTTGGACAGTCACGACTTTAACACTGGACCTTTTTCGGTAGATATGAGAAGCCACGACCAGCATGTAACGCGTGCGGCCGAGTTGAGCCTTGCTAAACTTTTTCGCTACGTTTTGGAACGAACCGAGCGACCACATCGACAGACCAATCATGGGTCGAGGACGGCTCGGCCCCGCGCGTTGCATGCCGGTCGTGGTTCTTGCTATCTGCTGAAAAACATGGCGTCGGCGGTGATCGTCGACGTGGTCGGCGTGGTGAAAGCTCATAGTTCCGCGTAGAGCGCTGTCCTTGACTGTAAATTGTTGTCGTGTGTCCCGATAATAAACCAACACGTTTTAAAAGAGTTGATCCACCTACACGTGCGGCGATGTCGTGGCGGTATACCCTCGAGACAGGAGAAACGCTCGTGTTGTCGCGTTTGTTTATCTCGACTCCAGTGGTACTTTCTTGGCATTTGAACCCTAGAGCATCGCTTGGATTTCTTATTTCGCGTATTCCATCTGTGTGCTCATGTTCAAGGTACTACTGGTGCGTACTGTTTTTGAAGATGTGTCTTAAGGATGGAAAATTTTACAGGTCTTCATCAACCGAGAAAGATGATTAGTGTTAGCATTCCTGGACGCTTGCAACGTCTATGTGATCACGAAAGAAAAGTCTTCGTTGCTACAGCTAAAATTGAAGCGTCTTCTGTAATCGTACAAAGAGCGTTTGGCAAGATCTGTACTATTGGCAAAATCGTGCGTTGAAGTTGTGATCGTCCAGGACGGCGTACGGCATGTTTATTTTCCTTTTTTCATCTACTCAGCCCCGCGAGCCCGATCCTGTAAAAAATTAAGATAAATAAAGCTTGGTGCTATATAAAACTGTCTGTCCATTTTCTGTTCGACCTGCGAGTCGCAGTGCGTCCCCTTCCTTTGAGAGGCACCGCGAAAACAGCTAACGGCGGCGGTTGTTGTTAGCGTTGTTAGGATGTAGAGAGAAAAGGAGAGAGTCAGTCGTTCACGCGCTCTGCATGGGCAGAAAAAAGGCCGCTGTGCTGACGACCGCCATGTTTGCCATAGTTGCTGCGCTCGTTGCAGTGGTTACAAGAGTGGAACGCGCGGCGCAGAGCGGTCGTTCCAGTCGCTCCGGTCACAACGGACGCAGTCGTAGCTAATGCTTTCGTTGCAGATGTTTGAACAGGCCATAAAACGTTATGGTTCTGGCTGTATCACTATGACATCGCCCTTTTGTTTCTTTGTAGACCACGCATAATTTGTTATCTACGCGTAATTCGACAAATTACAAGTAACGATAAAAGCCTTACAAGGACGTCGCTGTTTATCCGACTCTTCCGTTGGGAACATGGTGCAATGCGTATTTTTAAACACACTCAAATTTAAGATGCGGCTATACTCATGAAACAAAGTACCCAAGAAGCGGAACTACACGTACTCCCTATCAAATGTTCATAGGTTTTGTGGAAACCATTTGTTCCCCGTATCCCTGTCTACGCCTAGCCCGTATATGTCACGGATGCCGCCACAATGGTGGCAACTCGGATGCAAGAGGGGGCCAACCACTGCAATCAAAATGATGAAACCTCATTCGGAGAAATGTGAATACCAACAGAGTCTTTCATTACACAGCGTTTCGCAAGGAACCTAAAACACTATTTTCCTAAAGGTTGTGTTATTCTTTGTTGCTATTTAAAGTTTCTCTGAACGTCTTTATTTCTCGATGAAAAATATATTTAATTACACTGAGAGAAATCTCGGTGAATAAGGAGGCCGAACGCAGGTTTAGACCTAAAAATAAGAACCGCGTCGAGACACTGGCAACGAGGATGCAGACTGATCACTGTCCCCATCGAAGACTTCATTTCTCGATTTCAACGTACGCTTGTTCCCAGCCTTCTCGTTTTCCAGTGGGTTGTTTCTTCGAGTAGCCCGCGGGAAAAAAAAGCGGACGCAGGGACATTTTGGGGAATATAGAGAAACAGTACGAAGGAGGGGGGACGGGGAGGGGGGGGGAGGGGGTTGCTTCTCGCATAGCAGACCTTCCTATTATCGCTCAGCAGTCACTTAAATTGAATAGCATCAACCGATAAGAACACCGTGAACAAATCACGAAGAAGGAAGCGCGAACACAAGCCACTCCCGGCGTTTTTTAAGATGTCGCTTACCAAAGGGTGTGTTCAAATCAGGACAGTCGTAGGAGTGTCCTGTCTACTCTTGATTTTTAATTACTTTTTTTCTACACAAGGTAGGAATACATGTTCACGTGACAGTGCGGGCCTTGTACTTTTGCAAGGTATACTTCCTTGTTTTCGTGAAAAAATGTCGCGTCTGAGAAGAGGGTGGAAACAACCGACTTGACCGACTGCGCTTTGAGGCAACTTTTTATGTACATAATTTGCATACCGCACTCATATTGGCATACTATAATTCGCTATATTTGTTTTATCTGAGCTTACATATGAAAAACTAAATAAATTTG